TTTAAAATAGTTAATGAACAGTTATGTAAAGTTAATGAATAGTTCGTATGTAACAAACTTTCATTAAATGTGGATAAAACAAAATATATACTTTTCCATAATGTAAATAAATCAGAACACATTCCTCTAAAATTACCAAATCTTATAATTAATAATACTTATATTAAAAGGGAAACAAACGTAAACTTTTTAGGAGTAAAACTGGATGAAAATTTACTGTGGTATTCACATATAAATAGTATTGAAGCAACACTCTTAAAAAATATCGCAATGATGTTTAAAGCTAAGCCTTTTTTAAATGTAGCATCCCTGAAAAAATTGTATTTTGCCTTTATTTACAGTTATTTGTCTTACTGTAATATTGTATGGGGTAGTACTGGCTATACAAAACTTAAGAAAATCTATAACAAACAAAAACATGCATGCAGAATAGTGTTTGGAGCCTACAGAAATACTCCTTGCGAACCACTTTTACGTGCACTCAGTGCTTTAAATGCGTATAAACTCAATTTACACCAAGTTTTATTGTTTATGTTTAAAACAAAAATGGGATGTCTCCAATAATTTTTCAAACCTATTTTAATAAAATTAATCATAAATATTCAACAAAGTTTTCTGATAACAACTTTGTTCTTCTCAATATAATTTAAAATTAACCTACTATTCAATTAAATATCGCGGATCTTATCTGTGGAAAAAATTCCCAGATAATGTCAACAAAAACAAGACTACATTAGAGCAATTTAAAAATAAATCAAAAACAATTATTATTATTCAGGGATCTTAACTTATCTGACTTCAAATGTTTATTTAAAAGTTTAATCAAATAAAAACAAATTTATTTATATCAATGAAATTTAAGTAATGATGTTAAAAATTCAACTTGTGATAATTTTAATTATAAATATTTATTTTTTTATTTAAAACTTTTTGTTTAAATGATTTTTAAATATTTTAGCGGTTGTTAGCATTTTAACAATTCTTTATTATATGCTATTTTGAATTTCTTAATTTTCTCAGTTATTTTCTGTTTTAATTCTGATCTATATTTTATATATTTGTATTATATATATTTGCATGTTACGGTTATGTAGAGTTTTTTTATGTAGAGTTTTTTTTTATATATAGGGCTCGGCGATAAGGCAAACTGTGCCTTCTTCTTGCTCCTGCCATTAATTTTGATATATGTATATGCAATGTAAACATTCTTTAACGGCGAAATAAATTACACCAAAAAAAAAGAAGATCGACAAAAAATCACTTTAAAATAACTGTTAATTTATTTATCGTAATCAGATATTTACAATAGGTACAACATATTTGTTAAATTATTAAGCACAGCATTTTTTTGTACAGAAACACATTAAGAAAATATCGTTGAACAAATTAACTGGATTTGACATCAGAATAATTAAAACTGATATTTCGGATCATTTTCCTATTTTCTTTTCTTTTGTTGAACATGCAACCATAAAAATCAAAGTCTTGAAACGAAAAATGAATGAACATTCTATGCTTAAATTTAAAGAATCTTTATCAACTATAAATTGAATAAATGTATACCAAGAATGTAACCTTGGACACACAAGTTCCGCTTATAATCTATTTCTCGACATCTTTCTTGAATATTATAACAAACATTTTCCAATACAAGAAATAGAAGTCAAAATAAAATATTTAAAATGTCCTTGGATTACACGCGAAATAAGAAAATCTTCAAAAAAAATCAAAAATTATACATCAAATATTTAAAAAACAGAAACGAAGCTAATCTTAATACCTATAAAAAATATAAAAATCTGTTAGAAAAAATAAAAAATAAATCTAAAAAAAGATATTATTCTCAACAATTAAAAAATAATAATGGTAACATAAAGAAAACGTGGGAAGTTATGAAAGAAATCATTGGTAAAAATAAAATTGTATCTGACATTTTACCCTCCAGAATAACGGAAAACGATATTGAATACAAAAACAAAAAAGATATATCAGAAATATTTAATCGTTTTTTTGTAAATACTGGTCTAAACCTGGCATCAAAAATAAAAGGCTCAGAAACATCGTTTCAAAATTATTTTAGCGATTTTGAAAGTTCATTGCCATATAGTAATTTAACTTTTGATGAACTAGAAACAGCAATCAAACCAATTAAAAAGAATAAGGCCCCAGGTATTGATGACATCTCTGGCAATGTTGTGCTTTATATTTTTTCTGTAATAAGAAAGCCTATTTTTAATATCTTCAGCTCTTCAATCAAAAACGGAATTGTCCCAGACAAATTAAAAATAGCAAAAATTGTACCTATATTTAAAGGTGGAGATACATCTGCAATTAGCAATTATAGACCAATCTCAATTCTTCCTATATTTTCTAAACTCCTTGAAAGAATAATTTACAACAGACTGTATAAATATTTAATAGAACACAAAATCTTAAGTGAGAATCAATACGGGTTTCAAACGCAACATTCAACAGAACATGCTATCCTAGATCTCATTAATAACATTACAACTTCCTTTAATGATAGAAAATTTGTATTAGGAGTTTTTATTGATCTTACAAAGGCGTTTGACACAGTAGACCACACAATACTACTAAGAAAAATGGAAAAACGTGGCATAAAAAATCAAACTATAAAATGGTTCGCCAAGTACCTAGACAACAGACAACAATGTGTTACCATAGATCACTATAACAACTCAAAACAACTAAAAATCAAATGTGGGGTTCCTCAAGGATCTATTCTAGCTCCTCTTCTAATTTTAATTTATGTCAACAACCTCCCTAAAGTCTCATCTAAGTTAGATTGCATAATTTTTGCAGACAATACTAATCTGTTTTATTCTTCTAGCTCAATCAGTGACCTCTTTATAACCGCAAACTTAGAACTTATTAAACTTAACACATGGTTCAGAGCTAACAAATTTTCATTAAAATTAAACAAAACTAAGTACATCTTATTTCACCCCAACCAAAAAAGGCTATCCCATCAATTTTACCAACTCTTAGTATAGACAACACAATTATTGAACGAACTCAATCATCTAAATTTCTTGGTGTGCTTCTTGACGAGAAATTATCTTAACTCTCACATAAATACCATTAATACAAAAGTCTCAAAAAACATTGGTCTACTCTATAAAGCAAGAAATTATTTATCGTTCAAAAATTTAAAACTTCTTTATTTTTCCTTTATACACAGCTATCTATCATATGCCAATATAGCATGGGCAAGTACCCATAAAAATTAAGTTCACTCTATAGACGACAGAAACTCGCCTCAAGAATTATTTTTTACAAAAACAAACTTACTCACGCAAACCCATTACTAAAACAGCTGAATGCTTTAAACATTTACCAAATTAATATATATCAAAATATTTTGTTTATGTTCAAACATAAACAAAATATTTTGATATATATTAGGTAAGTGAATTCCTGAAAAATATAAATTCCTTAAAATCTTATCTTAAAAAACTTGTCTTCAATACAAGCAGTTATATGGAAATTTTCTAATAACTTATGAGTAATTAAAATATCAAAATCCTGTACAAAAAGAAAAAAAAAAAAAAAAAAAAAAAAAAGTATGAATATACATACTAGTTTATGTTATGCTCCTTCCTAAAAACACGACTAATTATATTAAAAAATGTAATAAGTAATGAATAAAACATTTATGAGTATCTCATGAAATTGTTTAAAAAAAGGGTTCTCGATGACAAGACTTTACACAGTTTTCTGCGAGTTTCCCTTGACTACATAACTAAAGGTTCAATTTTTCTTTTTTTAAGACTTTTTTTGTCTTTTCAAAATATAAACTGAAAAACTATTTTACATTATTTTATTACTTTGTACATCAAATATATCTTAGTATTATTTCAGTTATTTTCAAAGCATTTTGACTGTATTTGTAATAAAAGTATATATATTGTTAAAACTATTTGTAATAAAAGTATGTATTGTTAAAGCTATGTAGTTGTAAAAAATATATGGAAAAAAAAAAAAAAAAAAAAAAAGAATCTGTTTGCGCCAATGCTTAGAAATTGCGCAAAAATCATAAAAAGCATAACTTCGAACTATCAAGAAAAAATAAAAAGTAAAAAATTTTTTGTCGAAAAAAAATTTAAGGATTAGCTAATGTACACAGTCTTGGGGATTTACCCGAACATTTTGAGTTTTTAAACAAGCTATAAAATACTATTGTGTGCCAGCTTGCTTTGCTCCTTTTTGCTCTTTTTCTTTAAATCATTTTTGCTTTAACATAAAAAACTCCAGAATATCGGATATATTCCAGTTTCAAATCAACGCTATTTATTCTTCGTTCAAAACTCTGCACAACATTTCATAACGACGTGTGTTACAGGTGAAATAAACAAACAGCTCTTCAAGAAGTTAAAAAAACTTACAGCACTCAAAAAACTGCATCCATTCTTGACAAAATTAAAATAAGTTTAGCACAAAATGCCAGGTGAATAAAAATGAGCAATTGCTTTTACTCAGTAATTGGTCAGCTTTACGTAAATAAAAAATTAAGCAAATTTGCTAAAGTTTTTCTTTGCTAAAGTTTAATTTGCTAAAGTTTTTATTCACGTAAAGTTGAACAATGACTGAGTAAAAACAATTGCTCATTTTATCCACCTGGCCTAAGGTATCCAAACTCCTAGAGTATTCTGTTCTTTAACTTTTACATGCAAACCACTGTATTTTCTATTCATTGTCGAGGCCTAGTCATATATTGCCAACAATCTTGATGTTAGATCTCTCCGATGGAGAGCTCTAATATTCTCGCCAACCCGTTTTATGTCTTTATTATTCTGATTTCTTTATTATTCTGATACTAAAAGGAAAGCATGGCGTGTTCCGCCATTTTTGATAATATAAACAACTATTCAGTCTAGATAATCAAAGCAATCACAGGGAACCAACATATGGTGCCGAAACTTTTATTTATATCTTAATTGGAAGTTCATAATAAAATAACTCTTTTGATAAATTAAAACATGGATATGCAACTAAAATCGATGAAAAAATCAAGAAGGATGCATAAAATGTATGCATCAAAAATTATAGAAGAAACGAATATCTTATTAGATAAGGAACTTGAGTCTAGCGAAAATCGTGAAGATGTGGAAACTGACTTAAATACGAACTTGGAGCTGTTGAACATAAAAATGAAAGTTATAGAAAATCTTAACGATAAAATAAGTGAGTTGTTGGAAGATGATGATGAGATTTGCACGGATATGAACGAATCTGGAGACTTTCAAAGGTACATTTTAAAAACCACTATACGCATCGAAAAGTATCTTAAACAAAATCTTAATGAATCTTCATTCCATATTGAGAAACCAGCTTCCAAACCTAAATATTCAATCTCTGCCAAACTGCCCAAGCTGACACTTCCCAAGTATAGTGGCGATCCAATGACCTTTCAATCATTTTGGGACAGTTTTGATAGTGCTATCCATTCAAACCAAGTATTAAATGACATTTCTAAATTCAATTACCTCAAAAGTCTCTTAGAAGGAAATGCGAGTCTTTCAATCCAAGGTTTAGCCATAACAGGTGAAAATTATAGAACTGCAATTAAAATTCTTAAAGAAAGATTTGGAGACGAACAAGTGATAATAAGCGCTCACATGGATGCTCTTCTCAACATTCAACCTACTCAAAGTAATAAAGTCTCTGAAATCCGAACAATCTTCGACTTAGTCGAAATTCATACTAAAAACTTAGAACTCTTAAATGTTAACTCAGAGGATTTTGGTCCAGTACTTGTATCACTAATAATGAGTAAATTGCCTAAAGACTTTAAACTCGACATTACACGAAAGATGCCTCAAGGAAAGTGGAAAATAATAGACCTTATGAACTGCTTCAGAGAGGAACTTATAGCTCGTGAGCGTTGTATATCTATGGAAAAAGGAATGAGTAACTTGGACATAAATCAAGATCATTTTCCAAAATACATATCAACATTGCACTCTCAACAAAAACATGTAAAACCAAGAGAGTGGCAACCCAAATCAGTTAAGCTCATTTCTTGTTCATTTTGTAAAGGTAAACATCCAAATAATCGGTGTAATGTTGTTACAGATGTTGTTGCAAGAAAACGTATTATTCAAACCAAAAATATATGCTATAACTGTTTAAAATCAGGACATTCTGTAAAAAATTGTTATTCGAAAAATATTTGTTTTCAGTGTAATGGTAAGCATCATATTTCAATTTGTGATAAAAAAAACAATGCTGGAGCTTATGTAAACTCAAATTCAGATAAAACCATACCAGACACCTCAGTCAATGTTGTTGGTTGTCAAGATAATATTCTCCTACAAACTGCAAAAGCTGAAATATCAGACACAAGCAACTCAATAAAGAAAACTAAAATTATTGCAAGAGTGTTATTTGATAATTGCTCTCAAAAGTCCTTTGTGACATCTGATGTAAGAAAGAAGTTGAATCTCAAAACTATTCGAAACGAAATTCTAAATGTAAAAGTGTTTGGAGAAAGCTGTGAAAAGCCTCGAAAATTTGACCTTGTCAGTATTAAAATTAAAAACATCCAAACCAATCATTATTCTACAATCGAAGCATATGTTACACCAATCATATGCTCTCCTATTATCAATCAACGAATCGACCTTGCAAAATTGCAGCACACAGAATTAGCCAATATACCGATAGCTGATGATTTAAAAGATGGAAAAGAAATTGACATATTAATAGGTGCAAATTACTACTGGAGCTTTGTAACAGGACAATTAATTAGAGCAAACCAATCACTAACCGCAGTAAACACAATTCTTGGTTGGACTCTTAATGGAAATGTTAAATCAATTAATTCTGCTTCTGTAAATATAGCATCTGTTCTTCATACATCTTCTGAACCAATCTTAGTTAATTCTGACGATCTTGGCAGTCTTGGTAAATTCTGGGAATTAGAAGATATTAATGAAATAAACACAACCTTTGACTTAAAAAATTTCTATGACAAAATCCAGTTTAATGGTAAGAGATATTCCGTACCTCTACCTTGGAAACAAGAACGCAAACAGATTCCAGATAATTATGAGAAAAGCAAACTCAGATTGCTATCCACTTACAATCGTCTCAAGATAAATCTAAACTTATTGCAACAGTACAATGAGATTATACGTCAGCAGGAACATGAAGGAATTATAGAAAGAATCCCCGATTTTCCACCACTCGTAGGACAAGTCCATTATCTTCCGCATCACGCAGTAATCAAAGAGGAAAAGTCTACCACAAAATTACGAATTGTCTTTGATGCATCGTCAAATAGTCCTTCATTAAACGATTGTTTGGAAAAGGGTCCTTGCCTGCTTCCCATGTTAATTGATATTCTTATAAGATTTGGGACTTACAAAATAGCAGTAGCTAGTGATATCGAAAAAGCATTTCTCAACATTGCTGTAAACAAAAATGATCGTGACTTTTTGAGATTCTTGTGGTTCGACAATGTAAACAACAGCAATCCAAAAGTTATCTCTTATCGCTATACTAGAGTACTATTTGGTATGAACTCGTCACAATTCTTATTATTAGTATCTATCATGAAACATTTATATCAATACAAACATTGCGATCCAGAATTTGTGAACAATTTCTTAATAAATTTATATGTTGACGATAGCATTGCAGGAGGAGATACATCAAATGAGGTACTCGAATTTTGCCTCAAAGCAAAATCACGTCTAAAGACAGCAGGGTTAAACCTTAGAAAATGGCGTTCAAATAACAGTCGCCTTATTTCAAATATATCATCTTTCAATCCACAAGATCACCCAAGTACGGAAAGTAAAATCCTAGGCATCACATGGGACACTGGTCATGACAAATTGTCAATTAATCTAACTAAACAATATGAAGCTGGAACAAATAAAAGAGTCACAAAGAGAAATGTTCTAAAAATTATTGCATCTATATATGACCCAATCGGAATCATTTCTCCCTTAATTTTACCACTAAAGCTCATTTTTCAAAAAATATGCACTACAATAAAAAATTGGGACAAGGAGCTAAATGACGAATTAAAAAATGAGTGGAATCAGTTAATGCAGTTATTATCTTGTAATCTTGTGTATGAGTGGCATCGCTATTTCTTTAAAGAACATTTAATAAAAAACTTAACTAACATAACTATACATGGCTTTTGTGATGCCAGCAAAAGTGCATACGCAGCTGTAGTTTTTATAACTGCCCAAACTCCTGATAAACAGATTCTAGGTAGACTTATTGCCAGCAAAACAAAGATCTCTCCGCTAAAACCTATATCCATTCCTAAATTGGAACTGTCTTCTTGTCTACTGCTATCTTCACTTATGGCATGTGTAATTGAGTCTTTAAATAGTACCCTTAAAATAGAGAATATTTACTGTTGGAGCGATGCAATGGATGCTTTATGCTGGATAAAGAATAGTTCTGCAAACAGAAACCAATTCATTACAAATAGAATAACGAAAATAAAGAAAAACATTCCACCTAATCACTGGAGATTCTGCCCTGGCAAAATCAATCCAGCGGATCTGCCCTCAAGGGGCCTCTCAATCCTTAAATCTGGTAATTGGTTTGAAAATTGGATGAATGGACCTGAGTTTCTTTATCAAGATCTCTCATATTGGCCGGCAGAACCATCCGATATATTCAACAAAAGTAAAACTGACGAAATATCAAATCTTAGCGTGGTCGTAAAGGTAAACCCTACGAAATTCAGCACAGAAAATAGTGAAGTAAAAGAAGCTCTTGAAACCAACAGCTTGAATATGCGTAATGTAATCAACGTTGAGCGATTCAGTTCGTTGCACAAACTTTTTAAAGTTACAGCTTATGTGTTGAAATTTATAATTAGTCTTAAGCATCTTATAAATAAAGCCAATAATCAGACAAAATCTCTTTGCATTGCGGATATTCGAAAAGCTGAAATTCTTTGGATCCGAACCTACCAGTGTGACCTTTCTAACAAAGTGGAAATTCTGAACAACACTTTAGGTCTCTTCGTCGACGAGGATAAAGTAGTTCGTTGTAAAGGACGGTTACAAAATTCAATACTGCCTTATAATGCTAAACACCCAATTTTGCTACCAAGTGAATCTTATTTGTCAGAATTATTAATATGTCAGGCTCACAAACGAACTCTACATGCAGGTGTAAAGGAAACTCTCTGCCAAATAAGGTCAAAATACTGGATCCTACGAGGTCGTAAGCTTGTACGCTCATTGATAAACAAATGTTCATTCTGTAAAAGGTTGTTTGGGAAGGCTTTTACATCTAAAGTGTCACCACCGTTGCCTCACTATCGTGTCACTGCAAGTTTTCCTTTCCAGCATACTGGAGTTGATTATTTAGGACCATTGCACGTTAAACCGATATTCGATGATAATTCTACTGAAATGTATTCCGTGCACGTAGTGTTATTTACCTGCGCCACCACCAGAGCCGTTCACCTGGACTTAGTACCTGACTTATCTGCGAAATCATTTGTTCTATGCTTAAAACGTTTTATTGGAAGAAGAGGAATTCCAAATCTTATAATATCAGACAATGCCACATGTTTTAAGAATGAAGAAGTTAAATTAAGCGAGGAGCTTTTGTTGTTGGGAATCGATTGGAAATATATTATTGAAGCTGCTCCCTGGTGGGGTGGTTTTTGGGAACGTCTAGTGCAATCGGTCAAAAAATCGCTACTCAAGGTTGTGTTTAGAAGTAGCATCAGATATGACGAGCTGGAAATAATTCTTTGTGAAATAGAGGGTCTTCTCAACTCAAGACCAATAACATACGCTTACCATGAAGACACTGAGGAAGTTCTTACCCCTTCCCATTTGATGCATGGTCGAAGACTTATTTCACCTAACGAAACTAAAGGGGCAGATCTTGACAAGCTTGAAAGTAAGATTCAGTTAACTAAACGAATGAAATATTTAAAACTGATACGTGATCATTTTTGGGTAAGATTTACAAGTGAATATCTAGTTAATCTTAGAGAATTCCACAAGCAGGGATCCAGTAAGAGTCGATCGATTGAACTGGGAGAAATTGTTGTTATTCACTCTGATATTAAAAGGTACAAATGGCGATTAGGAAAAGTAGTGTCACTGATTACGGGAAGCGATAACATAGTTCGTTCTGCAATAGTAAAAGTCTTAACAGATAAAACAAACAAACAAAATTATATTAAGCGTCCTATCGAAAAGCTGTACCCTATAGAAGTCAAGTCAGTCGAAACAGTAACTGATACAGAGCTAAACGCCAGCAACGATGCTGTAGATGAAAGTAACGATTTGTCTGATACGAAATACGAAAGACCTGTACGAATAGCATCAAGAAACGGAATACTAATAAGACGCTTAATGGGACAATTTTAATTTTGTATCTAATTTGTTTTATAGTTTGTTGAACGTTATGTTCAAGGGGGGAGTGTGTTAGATCTCTCCGATGGAGAGCTCTAATATTCTCGCCAACCCGTTTTATGTCTTTATTATTCTGATTTATACTAAAAGGAAAGCATGGCGTGTTCCGCCATTTTTGATAATATAAACAACTATTCAGTCTAGATAATCAAAGCAATCACAGGGAACCAACACTTGATATATCAATCTTGTGTATACTAAAAATTCCAAAAGATCCACAAACCTATCTTGCGTACGGGCGGGGCCCCTGGTTTTGGCTCAAAAAGCCGTGTAGTAAATCTGGCACTCTATGAGTGAGAAAGAAAAACTTAATCACTGTTTTTAAAAATGTTTAAATATTTTTAACACAGGTTCTCTGTGACTAGACCTGATAGTGTTTTTGGAGCACCCGAGTCTTTGTTCTTTTTTTTTATTATTATTCATTATTTAGTTGTTCCATGAGTCCTAAGAGTTTTTTCACAGAACACCACGAAATAACATTTAACCAGGAAATTCACGCCTCCTTTCTTATCAACCCTAACCATTTGTCATGTGTCGCATGACAAATATTCTTACCATATTTTTGACTCCTCTCGGGGACAAAAATATGGTAGGAACACTTCCTTCCGAAAAGTGTAGAGTTTTGCTAAAAATTTTGTTTTTTTGATTAAATATTTGTAATTATTGTTACGTTTTTTTTAATTATTAAATAAACTATAGATGGTTATTTTAATAATAAACGTGAGTTGGTTTTTGGAATAGGTATGATCAATAATAATAATCAATAACTATTTGGAAATAATTATCACAAATGCAAAACTTACGTTATATCATAAAAATGATATGCAATTTTATAAAACTATTTTACTAATCATTTAAAAAAAATGCACACAGAATAGGCATTTGAAAAACTAGCTCATAAATAGTCCAAAAAAAAAATTAACAAACTATTAAGCTTGTTTTTCAATACGTTCAAACACGTTCAAAACTTGCAAGAAGTTATCTTGTTAACAATCAAACATAACTATAGTAATTTGTTATCGATTTGTTTAAAAGAGTTTATATTTATCTGAATTTTTTTGTTTGATTCAATTGGAACTTAAAGTATATATTAAGTAAAAATTTAGGGGGAAAAAATGCCACGGAGGAAATTTCGCAGATATTGGAAAAAACCATGCGAGGGTGAAAATATCATTTCGAAATAAATTTTCCCCTAGAAAGTATATTTCGACAAGGGGGAAATTTCATAATGAGAAATTTATATTTCATAATTCTAACCTATACACCACGGCTGCACACATGTAATAATATATAAATACTCATCTTGGACAGACGTTAAATGCACCTGGCAACGGTCTATAGATTCTACCTATTGACCAGCCTCACACCCCTTCTCCATTTATTAGGCTCGCATAGATGTATTTATAATACATTGTTTCCAGTTTAGGATGTTGAATGCTGGATCTTCTTGACTTAATCCATGGGTTTTGCTTGTGTTTTTGTTTTTATGACTAGGCCACTCATTTTATTATCTCCTAATAAGGGTACAGCTTTAAAACTCAGTTTTATGGTTCCGAGGCCGGCTAGAAGCCAGATTTCACAAACTCTGAAACTCTGTGGTAAATCTCAAAGAGGTTGATTCCATCAACAGCTGTAATATAACAGAGTACTAACAGTGCCATGTTGCGCATGGATGGAGTCCCTGTACTTTTGGTGTGCCTTGTCAAGACCACATTTGGAGCCCTTTGTTACGGCTTAGGGTTTGTTAATAATAATCAGGCAATTGCTATTATGGACTTTTTTTATGGACTATTATGGACTATTAAATAGCGTAGTGAGTACAATCTGTGCTTTGAATTAAGTTCTTTAAGAAATTCAAAAATGACTAAAGAACCAAAAACTATAAAACACAAAAAACCATCGTCATCACCAATTTCTCTAAATCTATCATTCACTGACATACGTGGTATTTGAAGTAACTTTTCTTCTGTTGAATCTTATCTCTTGCAAAAGTTCACTAGACCTACTTGCTCTTTATGAGACTAATTTAAGATTAGCTGTTTCATCTTGTGACCTTAGTGTTGATGGTTATCTTCCTTCAATTTGTAAAGACTCCAATAGTCACATGTTTGGCTTGAGGATTTACATTTGTAAGAATTCACTCATTTGTTGGGAAACAAGATTTGAATTTACAGAGTATTCTTTTATGTTTTTTTGTACAGCACTACTTTACTCTATCATATTATATTGCTCTCCTTCTTCTATGTCGTCTGTGGCTCTGCATGCGTTAAGACCCATAACTTTTACCTTTCTCAATCTCTAACACATATAGTCAACTTTCTAATTCGACAATCCAAATCATTTTTTTTACCTTCTCTACTCAACTTATGTCTTGTTTCTGATCCTAGTCAGTACTCAGTTTCTACACATTCGCCTTTAGTTGCTTCTGATCACGGTTTGATCTCTTTAAAACTGTTATCTTATTCTTCTTATCAGAATCATCGTACCTCTTACAACTATCTAAAAGCCCGGCTGGGACTCTTTCCGTAATTTTCTTCGTGATGGCCCTTGGGTAGAAATTTTTCATCTTCCTGCCAACCAATGTCAATGTCAGACGTCTATTTATTACTGCTAGATACCAATGTAAAAAAGTTTTGTCTAACACCAAAGTCATATTCTTAGGTCACGAAATCTTGTATTTTATCTCAAAAAACTAGGCTTTCGTGACTTCTGGGATCTTTAACAGCATCTATAATAAGGACAAATCTATAAGGACAAATCTGTTACTCCACCTCTCTTGTATGGTTCAGATTTTGTCACCTTACCTAAAGACAAGCTAAAAACTTCTCATCTATATAATCTCTTAATTCTAGTCGCGTTCTACCTTATATAGCCGACAAACAAGTTAGTCCATTGCCTGACTTTCGGTTCACTACAGCTCGACATTTCTAAAGCTTTTGAGAAAGTTTGGCATTCTGGTCTTCTACGTAAGCTTTCTTCTAACGGTCTATTAGTTAACATCTTTAAGATTATTGAACTCTTTCTAACCAATCGTAGTATTAAAGTTGTCCTTGATGGACAATACTCTTCTTCATATCCTGTCACTTCAGGAGTTCCTTAAGTTTCTATCCTTGGTCTTATACTCTTGTTTTTTTTTAAATCTTGCTAACGATCTTGCAGAAATTCTCACATCTATGGTAGCATTGTTGGCTGACAATACAACCCTTTATTATTGTCTTGATAAGAAGGCAACACCTCTGCTTGCTTGGTGGGAGCATTTGAGCTTAAAAAGGATCTTACTTCTGCTACAACATGGGACTCTCAATAGCTTATGAACTTTAACTCAGATAAAACACAATTTTTTTTTCAGTTAATTGTTATCGCAATAATCTAGATCCTCCTATATATATGAACGGTAATGTACTCCATGAGTCATTTACCCTTCATCTTCTAGGATTAACTCTTACTTCCGATCTTTCTTGGAAATCATATATCAAATCAATTACAAAATTAGCATCTGCTAAGGTTGCATCTCTTTATTGTAGTCGCCTCTTTCTTACTCTTTAAGAGCATTTTTTTCTTTAGCTTTATAAATCTTAATTAACAAAAAAAAAAGTCTCTTGTGCCATCTACTAAAATTCATTCTCGTGTTACTCGTCATTCAATTAAGTCTCATTCTTTTAATCTATATGTTCCCAAGTGCTCCAAAAATTCTTAGTCGTCTAGTTTTTTTCCTAGAACATCAGTTATTTTGAATTCATTTCCATCATCTTGTTTTCTTGAATTTGCAACCTTTTAAGTTGTCTGTCAATCGTTATCTTGCTCTATAAACTTCATCTTTTTTCTTCCAGTAACTTTTAACTCTAATATTGGTTGCTTGCAGCCTTGTTGGAAGTGAAGATGTCAGAAAAATAAATAAATAATATATATATATATATATATATATATATATATATATATATATATATATATATATATATATATATATATATATATATATATATATATATATATATATTTATATATAATGCTAAACTTAAACTGCTATATAGCATTACGAAAACAAAATGTTAAAACTTTACTTACAACTAATTCTATTATTTGCTAAATATAGTATTGTAAAAAGAATAAAAATGAATAGATAGGCGTTTTTAATTATAAACGTTCACGTTTTTTTCTTTACTGTGCGTACTTTTTGTAACAAAGTTTGCTATTTTTCATCTAAAGTATTGAAGAATATATAAAAGTTCTTGTAAAGCAATTCTTCTTAAAAGTAAAAAATGTTCGCGTGCAATTCAATCTTCAATTTTTTATTATAAAATTTAATTTCGTGATGGTTGAAGCGGAACAAAGCTATTGCGATCGATAGCACAATTATTTGATATAGAAATATCAGCTGATGTAAGGACAATATTTATCTTTAGTAAAGCCTTAAAAATATCTTGATTGACTTTCCCATTTTCATCAAGTAGTTTCAATGATATTGAAGAAGCAAACAAGCTGTCACAATAGTCACCTGTGAAATGAACTGTAGTCCACTGTATTTTTGTGAGTGAAGAAATTGTATCATAGCTAATTATAACTATGGATGACGCAGAAAATGACAGGTATTTTGATATTGTTAAAATAAATTGATTAACAAATGTAGTGCAAGAAGATATTGTCGACAATGTTGTGAAGGTAACAACTAACTGTTGTTGAATAGGTATGTATCCTATAATACTGATGTGAATAAAACGGTATGCTTCTATTTGTAATGAGGTAGCAGCAATTAGTCTAAACAGGTAGCTAGTTCTTTGAACAGCTATTTCATTTGATGCGTAGCCTTCTATTTTTAAACCAATATCTAGATCGTTACTGTTCAATTTAATCCAATAAAAATCGGGTAGAACATTCCCATTTTCGTCACGCAAATAAAATGACAAACTTGTTCCTGTTGAAGGAGGTGTAAATAAGTTTTTTGGAAGAATAACGGTGAAAAATTCCCCAAATTTTACACTAATTGTGTTTAAAGTCCCTGGACCGATTGTAGGTGGATCAATTGATAAAATTCCACATGGTCCAAGAAACAACTCTTTTTCTACTACGTACATAAATTCAGGTTGAAAAACCTTACTATAAGTAGAGCTGTAAGATCCAGTAGTTTTAGTTCTAGCGCTAATGATTTTCTGCAGTGAACATTCTTCTGATACAAAAATATTTGAACTCCACGCCATATTTACTGTGATAAAACTATTTGTCCTTTGAACAAGAAAACTATTTGTAATCAAAGACTCCACTTCAGTAAAACCCTGGCTTTGTCCTATTGCATAGGGAATCAATTTTTTTTCTTGAATATAAAACAAAAGTGACACATCACTCATACTAAGCATAGCAGATGAAAAAGAACGCAATACTAAATCTTTTATATAGTTAGGACCAAGAAGTGGAAATTTAACATTAAAAATATACTTTTTAAACCCAACGTTTTTATCACTATCTGTTGCTTTTAATATAAAAATCCATTGTGCTTTATTATAGGTAGTGTTGCAAACAAAACCATTTAAAAGAAAGCGACTGCCTGATTGAACAAGCTCTATCCAACTATTAAGAGGAACAGAGATTCCACTATCTGTAGTCAGCTCAATATTTAATTTGCTCATGTCACCATCTTTTGCATCTACAAAAGTTGTAATAGGTAGATTGTATGAAAAGCGATAAACATTAGTATTAATTAAATAAGTTTGCAATGGTTGATCTGGTACAGGGCCGTTGCTGTTAATAGCACAACTATCTGATACAAAAATATCAATTGACGACAAGACAAAATTTATGTTTGCTAAAGCATTAAAAAAGTCTGGGTTGAATTTACCGTTTGTACCAAGAAGTTTTAAAGAAATTGACGAAGCCAAATTTCTTTCACAACTAATGCTTGCAAACTGAACAAGTGTCCACTCAATTTTTGTAAGTAATGAACTTGTATCATAGTTGATTATAAGTACGGATGATGCTGAAAATGACAAATAGTTTGCAACGGTCAGTACAAATTGGTTAATAAAAACAGTATTAGTATTTATTTTCGAAAATGTTGATAAAGTTATTAAAAAGTTTTTCTGAATAGGCTTGTATCCCTGAATGTTAACATTTATCACAGAATAGGATTCTATTTGTAATTGAGTTACAGCCACAAACCTAAATTGGTATCTTGTTTTTTGAACAGCTATTTTATTTGATGCATATCCTTCTAATCTTAAGCCAAAGTCTAAGTTATTGCTGCTTAACCTAATCCAATAAAAATCAGGCAGAGCATTTCCATTCTCATCTCTCAAATAAATTGACAATTTAGTACCTACTGATGGGGAAATAAACAAATTATTTGGAAGATTAATAGAAAACAGTTCACCAAATTTTACACCAATAGTATTTAAAAATGCTGGACCAATTAAAGGTGGATTGATTGACAAATCTATACATGGTCCATGTAAGGATTCATTTTCTTCTATAAACGTAAACTCAGGTTGAAAACTCTGACTATATATAGCACTGTAAGTTCCAGTAGTTTTAGATCTAACGTCTATAATTTTTTGCACAGGACATTGATTAGATACAAATATATTTGAACTCCACAGTAATTTTACTGTAATATATCTATCTGTTCTTTCAACAATAAGGCTACCTGTAACCAAAGAATTTATATCTGTAAAACCTTGGCTATTTCCGATGGCGTAAGGGATCAATTTTTTGTCTTGGATGTAGAATAAAATTGATACATCACTTAAATCTAATATAGAAGGCGAAATGGTGCTCAGTGTTAAATGTTTTATATAGTTAGGACCTAGTGGAGGTGGATTAACAATAAAGATATATTTTTTGATTCCAACGTTTTTGTCACTGTCAGTTGCTTTTAATAAAAAAATCCATTTGGGTTCAGTATAAGTAACACTGCTAACAAATCCATTTAAACGAAAGCTATTACTTGATCGAACAAGCTCAATCCAACTTTCAACAGATAAAGAATAACCATTTTCTGTAGTCAGTTCAATAAACAGTTTGGTCATGTCACCATCTTTTACATCAACAAATGTTGTAACAGGTAAGATAAATGAAAAACGATACACATTGGTATCAATTGTGAATACTTTTGAAAATTGATCTGGAATAGGACCATTGCGATCCACAGTGCATTTGTCTGATTTTGAAATATCAGCTGACATCAAGGCAATACTTATATTTGTTAAAACACCCAATAAATATGAATTGATTGTACTATTTGAATCAAAAATTTTTGACGAAATTGAAGAAGCTAACAAACTGTCACAACTTGGGCCTGTGAGTTGAACCAAAGTCCATTTAACTTTTGTGAGTGAAGAATTTGTATCATAGCTGATTATAAGTATTGATGAGGCAGATAATGACAAGTATTTTGATATTGTTACAATAAATCGATTAACAAATGAAGTATAAGAAATATTTGTTGATGATGTCATGAAAGTAATAACAAAATTTTGTTGAATCTGTTTATATTCTGTGATGTTAATATTTATCAAACGATATACTTCAACTTGTAATGAGGTCACAGCCACAAGCCTAAATAGGTAATTCGTATTTCGAGTGGCCATTTCAATTGATACATAACCTTCTATTGTTAGATCAGAAGCAAAGTTGCTGTTGTTTAAGGTTATCCATGAAAAATTAGGTAAAGCATTTCCATTTTCATCTTGCAAATAAACTGAAAAACTTGTTGCAATTGAAGGCGCAATAAATAAATTATTAGGAAGAATAATAGAAAAAAATTCTCCTACTTTCAATGTGATATCTGAAAAGTTTGAAGGACCAATCACTGGTGGTTTGCTAGTTAAAAATTTACAAGCATCAAGAAACTCTTCTGTTTCACTTTTAAATGTGAATTCAGGTAAAAAAAAATTGGAATAAACTTGTGTGTAGTTTGATAAGGTCTTTGATCTAAAATTTATAAGTTTTTGAATATCACAACTACTTGCTATAAAAATAGCTGAAGTCCAAACTAAGTAGATTTCAACTAAAGTTCCACGTCTTGTTACTTGCAGCTCTTCAGTTATTAACGTATTTATATCTGTTATGCCTTGATTTTGCTGTAAAGAATAGGGATATAGTTTTTGCTCTTGAATATAAAGAAGAATTTCAACATCTGTCATTTGATATAAAGTTGGTAAAAATGAATAAATTGTTAGGTTTTTCCTATAATTTGCTTGTGTTTGCTTTTCAACCATAAAAAATTTATATTTTTTAAATGCAGCATTTCCAGCTTTATCGGTGGCTTTAATAAAGTATGTCCATATATTAGTGCTTGTTAATAAAATGTTTACATAACCAATATATTCATAACTGTTGTTTGTTTTTTGTAGTTGAATCCAATTGTTGACTGGTACAGTAGTTTTATTTTTAGTCATGAAATCAATCTTCAAAACGTTCATATTCCCATCACTTTTATCAACAAATGTCGTTAGTGGTAAAGTGAGTCTAAACCGATAAACATTGCTTTGAATCATTACATCTTCCGTGTCGACATCAGGTAAAGGAGGAGTTTTATCATTATTGCAGGCAACTCCTAAATTATAAATTATAGTTGTATTTACAAAGTTTATACTATTTAGTAAAAAATCTAGATTTGGATTTGATGTTCCATTACTCATAACTTTTGAAGTAATAGCCTGAACTAAAACATCATCACAACAAGTACCAGTTAGTGATAATAGAGTCCACTGAATATCTGTTGACAACATTGTAGTTACAAACTTTATGATAATAATAGAATTCATTCGGACTGATAAGTAACTTGATAGTTGTGACATGAAATTTAAAACAAAGTTGTAATTTCCAACTGTATATGATTGGGAAGAAAAAGTTACAACATAGTTTAATTGTAAAGTTGTTTTATCATCTAAAATAATAATATTAAAAAAGTTACTAATTTCTTCAAGTAACGGAGTAGTTGCAACAAGTTGGAAAAGAAAACTTGAATTCCCAGAAGCTATATCAAAAGGTATATACCCTTCGATTCTTAATCCATAACGAAATATATTCCCATTTAATGCAATCCATGGTGCTAATACAGGTTCACCATTTTGATTTCTAAGTTCTATATTAAGTGTCATTGTACTTCCATTCAATGGAAGTTTAAAAAGATTGTCAGGAATAGTTATTGAAAATAGACTACCAGAATCTACATACAATTTTTGAAATTGTTGTGTTCCAAGTATTGGTGGATCAGCTGATAAATAGCTGCAGGCACCAAAAAAACTTTCTGTATTGCTTATTAGATTAAATTCAGGTAGAAACATGTTAGAATACTTTGTGTAGTATTTTCCAGTGCTTTTTTTTCGTAGCTGTACAATTTTTTCTAGCTGACAATAAGATGTTGTAAAGTCAGCTGTACTCCAGAGCAGAGTTATTAAAATTTCACTATTATTACGAAAAATTTTCACATCCTCTGTTATAAATGAATAAACATCACTAATTCCTTGAAGGTTGCTTTGAGAATAATTCATCAGTTTAAAATCTTGTATATAAAATAGAATCAAAACATCATGACTGTTTATGAAATTTTGGTAGTTTGAACGAAGTGTTAGAAGCATTTTGTATGTAGCTTGTTTTGGAGAAGATTCTAAGTTAAAGATATAAAGTTTAGTCGCAAAGTTTCCATCACTATTTGTTGCTTTTAAGATAAATTTCCAAACTAATTTGTCATACAAATTCAAGGATATATAACCAATAAGACTATCATTTCCATTACTTCTAGAAACTTGAACCCAGTTGCTTAGTGAAACAGGTTCCTCATTCTCTAACAGCAAATCTATCTTGAGATTACTCATATCACCATCTTTAGAGTCAAAAAAAGTTGTTCGCTTCAACAACAAAGTGAATCTGTATGTCTTACTAGACACATTTATGTTCAACGAAGGTTCATCAGGAACAGGAAAATTGTTATAAGCCGCACAGACACCCAGATTTTCAATATTAATTGAAGATAAGTTTACTGTTATATTGCTTAAAGAACTAGTAAAATTTAGTGTTGCTTTTCTATCCTTGTAAACAAGTTTGTTAGTTATTCGGTTCAACTCAGAAAAGTTACACTCAGTTGCTGAATATTCTTTAAGAGTCCATCTAATAACAACATTATTTGATAAAAATGTTGATTTAAGCACTAAAATAGAGTCCACTGGGTAGCTTAAGTAGTTTGAAATTGTTGATAAAAAAAAGTTTATGAAAGTATAATAAGCAGTAAAGTTATATGATGTTAATGACAAGGTAACCACAAAATTTTCTTTTACTTGATAATAGTTTGTTATATTCACAATTATTAATCTACTAGCATTTACTAACAATGGTGTATAAGCCACTAAACGAAACCTATATACTGTTTGCATTGCAGCCACATCATTTGAGGCGTACCCAACAAAGCTTATATTATTAGTTAGAGTATTGCCATTCAGATTTATCCAGTATAAAAATGACAAATCTTCTCCGTCAACCCCTGTTAAATAAATACTTAACTTCATACTACTTCCATTCACTGGTGGAATGAAGATATCATTTGGTATATTTATTGAGAATGATAAACCAAATCCAACTTCAACTTTTATAAAAGCTGGGTTACCAACTAAAGGAGGATCTGAAGATAAATAACTGCAATTCCCAATATAACTTTCAAATTTGCTTGTTATAGTGATTTCTGGGTTAAAAAAACTGTTATACGCAGCATTAAAACTATCAAACACTTTTGATCTGAAACGAATCATTTTATTTACATCACAAGAAGAGAAAGAAAAAATGCTAGAGCTCCACACGAGACTTGCAGTTGTAACATTAAAATCTCGTTTAACATCCAAGCTTAATACAATTAATGTATTTACATCAATTATTCCTTGGTTTTGAAGTAGAGAATATGGTAAAATCTTTTTTTCTTGAATGTAAAATGCAAGTTCCACATCGTTCAGAGAAACAACTTCAGCTACTGATGTCTGAAGCGTCAAAGATATTTGATAATACAGTGATAATGGTTGTGTATCAATGAAAAAATTGTAAGACTTGGTGGCATAATTACCATCACTATCAGTAGCTTTAAGAAGAAAACTCCAACTTTTCTTGCTATATGTTTCTAAACTTAAAAAACCAATCAATTGGTCTTTATTATTTGATCGCAGCAATTGAACCCAATTACTTAAAGGAACATTTTCACCATTTGGCAACAAAAGTTGTAAAACCAACTTACTCATGTCTCCATCTTTTGCATCAATAAAAGTTGTACTTGGTAATGGCAAGACAAAACGATATAATCCATCCTTAACTGATATATTTAAGTATGCTTCATTACGCACTGGACCATTTTGATCAGTAAGACATGCTAATTGTGTTGAAAAAGTAATATTTGAAACTAAGTAGTTAATTGTCATATTAAGAACGTCTTTCAGACCATTAGTTGGCGATCCGTTTTCATTAACAAGTTTGAACTTCAACAGAGACAGTTCACTTATGTTACAGCTTTGTAGCGTAAAATCTAACAAAGACCATTTCACAACAGTTTGATCAGAGGGTGTGTTCACATCAAATATAACAATTGATGAAGTAATAGATAAGTAATCAGACATTATAGAAATAAACCTAGTAATAAAATTCAAGTACGAAATTGAAAATACCACAAAACCTTTAAAAGAAACAATAAAATTTTGCTGTATTATTGGGAATGAATTTATGCTTATATTTAAAATCCGATAACTTTCTTCCAATAATGGTGTGCTTGCAACCAGCTGAAAAATGTAACTAGATTGTTGCAGAGCTTGATTATAAGATACAAATCCATCTAAAGTTTTATTAGTAGATATATTATTTCCACTTAGTGTTATCCAATAAGAAGATGGCAATTTCTCCCCACTACTTGTGCGAAGATCGAATAATATACTCATGAGTTTTCCAGTTTCTGGGGGAAAAAATAATCCTTGCGGAAGAGTAACAGAAAAATAAACACCAGTATCAATCTGAATAGAATTAAAAACATAACTTGATACCAATGGAGGATCAATAGAAAGGTAACTACATGCTCCATGAAAAGACTCTGTCGATTGCTTTACATAAAACTCTGGATTAAAGTATTGAAGGTACGTAAGATTATACATTTTAATCGTTTTAGATCTGAAATTTATTATTTTATTTAAATCACACCAGTTTAAAAGGAATATCGTTGAACTCCATGTTAAGTAAATAGTTGTTAATCCATTAGTTTTAGTTAAATTAAGAGTATCAGTTACAATTTGATCAAAACTCGGTATTCCTTGCTGGTTCAATTGAGAGTATGGATAAATTTTTTTCTCTTGAATGTAAAATAAAATTTCTACACTTGAACTCTGAAATATATCAGATGAATTTGATTCTAAAATTAAAAATCTTTTATAGACTGGATCTTGAGGAGGTGATAAAAAAGTGAAATTATATAACATAACTGCATAGTTCCCATCTTTATCAATTGCTTTTAAATTAAAATAATAGTATTGGTTTTGCCAAACATTTCGATCGACATAAAGTATTAACTCATCTTTGTTTGGAGATCTCCTTAAAACAATCCAGTAAGTATTGGGAACGGTTTGGTTATTGATAAATAGCCATTGTATTTGCAAATTTCGAGTGTTACCATCCTCAGCATCAATAAAAGTATCTTGTGGTATTTCTAAGGAATACCTATATATTGTGCTTGGTACATTTACAATTTGATATGAGAGTTTTGCAGCAGGAACTCCACTCCAAACATGCAACACGCTTTATGTAAAAATAAAAAATTTGTTTATTAAATTTTATAACAATTTTTTTTGATTGAATATATTTCATTTATTTTATGAAGAAATTTAGGTAGAGAAGGAATTAGTTTTTAAAACAATAAACACGATTACCTTTAAAATTACCTATTTTTTCATTACATAAGTTTCATATATTTGATGATTAAAAAAGTAAATTTACTAGCTGCTGTTATTATCCAATTTTTTACTATTAATTTTTGAAATTGTTTTAGTAAAATATAGGGGCGCACAGGGACTTCATGATGCCCGGGGCACTTTCAGAATTTTATTTCCAATGATGGTGCTCCATAAACGTGCTCCCCGGGCGAAACTAACCAGGATCCCCTCTGAAAATATATCATTTCAATTAACAGGTGACAAAAAAAAGTTTCAAGACTTTGACAAACTCAAAACTAAATTAGTTCAAAAACTTAGTTCAGAACTTAGTTGGCAACATCACTGAAATATAAGAATTAAGAATTCGCTCAAGCTAAGAACTAAGAATTGTAAAAATTGGTTGCGTAAAATGCAAAATGCATACTGTCAATGTTTGTTATGGTTATTACTTGTTCAAAATAGGAATAACATTTTAAAAATAGAAGTGACTTTTTGTTAAGAAAATTAAACCTATAAATTAGGTAAATAAAATTTAGGTAAAAATAAAGTTTAAAAATAAATTAGGTACGTAATAAAATTTTTTTTTAATTTTAATACTACAATGTTATATATCATTAGAAATGACTTCATTACAGTATTCAATACAGAATCTAAAGGGTGAAAAATTTATGAAAATCAAGCAATTCTACAGAAAGTTATGACGTTTTTTAAAACGTCATAACTTTTTGTAGAACTGACATTTTGATAGAAAATCCATTTATCAAAAATTTGTTAATTAAAAATAACCCATTTTTGATAAATGGATTTGCTAAAGTTGTTTTGGATGAAGAAGCGAAAATTTAGCTTTTCTTAAATTAAATTGTTAAAACTTTGTCAATTATTATCTAAATGCTAAAATTGGTTTCAAAGGATAGGATTAAGAGTAGGCTAAATGAAAACTGTCCTCTAGCCATCAGGCGTATCTAGAAGGTAGAAGAGGCAGGGGCGGATCCAGCATTTTTTGGTGTTTGAGATAGCTAACTTCCAGACATGGAGCAAACTCCAAACATTTATATGTTTATACTTATATCAAATAAGGATGGTTTGCAAAAATTTGCGATGATTGGAGGCTGGGAACAAAAAAGCCCTAAAATTTGAGACGTACCTGCCCCAAACGTGAGAGCAACAAGTTGATAAAATATTTTTTGTACTATTCTCAACAAGACTTATATTTATCAATAAATTTTAAATTCCATTGTAAAATATGTTAGCGCTCAAAAATTATGACCATATAAAAATTGTAACCCCCTCGAATTGAGGGGGATTCAAACTTTACATGGTCATAATTTTTGAACACTGAAATATTTTACAATGAAATTTAAAATTTAAGAATAAATGTAAGTCTTGTTGAGAATAGTACAAAAAATATTTTATCAACTTGTTGCTCTCACGTTTGGGGCAGGTACGTCTCAAATTTTGGGGCTTTTTTGTTCCCAGGCTCCAATCATCGCAATTTCTTGCAAACCATCCTTATTTGATATAAGTATAAACATATAAATGTTTGGAGTTTGCTCCATGTCTGGAAGTTAGCTATCTCAAACACCAAAAAATGCTGGATCCGCCCCTGAGAGGCACTAAACCTTGTCAAGAAAAAGCATAATTTTTTATAAATGTTAGTTATTTTTCCATTGAAAAATTAAATTTTTTTTTTTTAATTTTTGATTAAAAAAAACTTGTTGATTCCAGACCATCAGAAAACATAATTTTATCTTAAAGTTGGAGAGGCGTGGTTTTAATGGTTTAACACACCCTAATAGTTGCATGATAAATCCTGTCTACAATTTTTTTGTGAAAGGTAAAAGTAATAGCATTCAAGATTTCGGAAATATCACTTCAAACTACAGTGTTTCTGTGAATTTTCAAGGAATGGATCACACTACAAAAAGGATTTGAAAAGTTATGGATAAATCAAAACTGTCTGAACCTTGCAATATTCTTCTTCATGTAAGCAAAGTTGGATTCGATAGTTCATCTAGACTGTCTGTTTATAAACGGAACTGAATATAAACAGAACAGATTGCCAGTTCCAGTTGAAGAGTCTTTGTTTTTATTGTGTACAGTACTTGTGTAACTTAAAGTATTAGATACTAATTTTATTCTTTGGACAAAACATCTTCAACCTTTTTTTTTTTAGGTCAGCTGAACTCAGAAGAACAATCATAGACTGATTTCAAGTCAAGCTCAAGTTAGAATGTACTATGATGGATAGAAATGTTTTCATTATTCTTTCTCCAATAAGTAGTTTTTATCAAGTTTGCAATATATGCGGATTGAATCTTAAAAAAATGAATGACTTTGTAATTGCTTACAATAGGCAAATTAATCAGATGTCTTTGGACCATGGAATCCACACTCTCTATCTCTGGATTTGTTGTTCGGAATGTCTGTTACATTTTTTTTTTGTTTTGTTATTCACCTCCTCAAGGCCGAAAAGGCCACTACAGACGAGGAGGCTACTTAATAGTGGTTATAACCCTCTCTCAACTCTATAACTCCGAAACACGAACCTTGACGAACAATGCCGCTGCGCGGAGAAACAAGTTGAGCGCGGTACTACCAGGGACGTGGTGGGGATTGAACTCGGAACCTCTCGCTTATGAAGTGAGTGTTTTACCACTACACCACTACCGCAATATTTACGTTCCGTGTCCACTGGGTAAAATTCTGATTAAAACTTAACTCAATTGCTTATTATCAGCAGCAATGACGTCGATTTCTTTTTATTATTAGCGCCAAATTAAGCACACATGCAAAAAAAGAAGTGTAACTTTTCTAACGATTTTACAAAAAAGTAACCCGTTATTAAAAAAAAAGAAATACAAAGCATTTTGTCCCATTTGCAATATTTTTATATTCGCGAGTCATAGTGCAATATAAAGCATAAGAGATCACGTTAAATTAGGAAACCACATTTCTAGATTGTTGTCAGCATCTTTATTAAGGAATATATTGTCCTTTCTTCTAACACAAAATTTTTCAGAAGATATTTTAATATGTACTGCAAAAAAAAACAACTGCATATCTTTTTTTTTTTTTTTTATTACAATTTTTCACATCATAATATAAGGAAAACATACTTCCGTTACAAATGAATATATTTAACCAAATACTGCTGAAATATATCAAACAAAAAAACAGAAAAGTTAACACCCAGTTATATATATATATATATATATATATATATATATATATATATATATATATATATATATATATATATATATATATATATATATATATATAAATCTGGCTTTTCTCACGTTTTAGTTCAAATTTTGATTTATTATGTGAACCAAAACATCTCTATCTAATCTATATTAAGAACAAGATTTTTAATTTTTGATTTAAAAAAATATGTATTGTCACGAAGAGTAATTAAGGTGTATTTTGGAATAATTTTTTACATCGGAGCCCCGATAAGAGATAGAGAGTTAGGAGTTTATTTTTTAGGGGTACGATAAAGTTACCAGTTACTCTGGTGTTAAACTTATTGGTATTTGAATGAAAGAAGTTTTCCGTAAATCGTGAAGGAACTAATCCCATTTTGTATTTTAGCATGAATAGTATATTAGCATAAATTTTAATTTGATAAATGTTTAGCGCTTTCATTTCTTTCAATAGAGGTTTAGCATGTGCATGTTTGTTTTTATGATGTATTATTCGATAGAGAGGCATTAATTTTGTCTTGTGTGTGCTTCCCCAAGCAATGTAAGCGTATGTAAGATGACTATGTATAAACAAAAAGAAGAGAATTGTCAAATTTTTTTGTCATAAAAATAGTCTAGCTTTGAAAAGTAAACTAAGATTTTTAGATATTTGAGTATTGATGCCGTTTTGTGGGCTGTCCATGAAACATTTTGTTTATAACCACTCCAAGAAACTTAGTTGTTTGGGTTCCTTCAATATTGTTGTAATCGATACTTAGAGAGGGAAGAATAGATGGAAGTGCCTTTTTTTGTTGCTTTAAGTGAAGTAAAATATATTTAGCTTTTTGTACGTTTATGGTTAACTTATTAGCACTGAACCATGTTTTAAGTTGTTGAAGCTCAAGGTTGACTTTATCAAAAAAATCATTGATAGAAGAAGATGAATAAAACGGATATGTAATATCTGCAAACATTATGCAATCAAGATTTGTAGAGGCTTTAAGAAGGTCATTAATGTATAACAAGGGGGCAAGAATTGATCCCCGTGGAACACCACATTTTATTTTTAATAGCTTTTAATTAGAAATGTCGTTGATTATGACACATTGTTGCCTATTATTTAAATAACTGGTGAACCATTTAATAGCTTTGTGTTTTATATTAAATTTTTTCATTTTTTCAATCAGAATTTTATGGTTTACCGCGTCGAAAGCTTTTGTAAGATCAATAAAGGCTCCATATAAAAGTCTTTTATCAAAAGATAAATTTTTTCTTTCTGTTAGATATTTATAGAGTCTTTTGTAGATTATTAGTTCCTTAAGCTTGGAAAATACTGGAAGAATTGAGATAGGTCATATATATTAGGTCACTATAATTGGTTAGTGATGCAGTGTCTCCAGTTTTAAATATTGGTAAAACTTTCGCTATTTTTATTTTTAATTTTTCTGGGACAACTCCGGTTCGAATTGATGATTTAAAAATATTAAAACGAGGATATTTTATAAAGGGTAAGATATCTTATACTACATTGCTGGAATTATTCTTAATGCCGGGAGCGTTGTTTTTGTGATTTTCTTGCTTTTTTGAGTTCCTCTAACTTTAAATCATTTTCAGGAAGTAAGCTAGTATGGTCAGTAAAATAGTTATTAAATGATTTGTTCGAATTGTTTATTTGTGATGCTAGGTTCGGGCCAATATTTACAAAAATAATATTACATTTTTTGGAGATTTAACGGTAAGTTTCTTTATTTGTAAAACTGTTATCATATAAAACTGTTCAACACCATCAGACATCCAGTTCATTAGACTACACAACTAAATTCAATTCCATCGTATTTCCTGAATGCAATAAAAGCAATCTACTGCAAAAAAAAAGATAGAAAATAAACAGGAATTATAAATGATTCCTTTTTATGGAATTCCTACAAATTCATATAATAACAAATACGTAAAAATGTTTCCATTACTTATCTAGATCCATTATTTCATAGAAGATGATGGTCTAAATGTTAAATCTCTTTCAGTTAAAAACCTTGTCTAATGAAACCGCCGATTCAATAACAGCGTTCTATTGCCACCGTTCTATTGCCACCGTTGCCACCTGTCTTGGTGATTGATAGTAAGGAATAATAATCGTATTTAATACTTCTTAGAGTCCGCTGAGTTATCATATAATAACATAGTGTCACATTTAAGAA